TAGGTCGGGGCCCTATTCCGACCACAGTACATCCATCGGTAGAGGCTTCTAGACATATCCTATCAGTCAGTGCAGTATGTTGGGCTTCTATGCCTTGTATGTATATTTTTTTGGTTTGTCAGCTGTAGTAGTTATAACGGCCTTTTTGGCCCAGCTTTATATTGATGTTCAGTCAGATCTAGTTTCCGTTCATTTTTATATTTTGTTTCACAAATTATCTTGCAATGTGGCCCTATGGCCAAAGTATGACATTGTACATTCAGAGTCCCTCAGTCTCAAGTTGTTAAGCTCGGATAAGTCAGGCACCGGATGCCGGTCTCGCCTCCCCAGGTGTGGGGCGTTGCTTTTAAATATGATGAAGATCAAAGTCATACTAGTGAATTTATAAGTAATACTATCCATGAAGTTGTTATATTTTCTTTCAAAAAAAGTTTTGTGTATGTCATTTGATAATGCTTCTAACAGCAATTCTGCTATTACACTATTAAAATTGCATCTACACCCACCACTTCCTGAAATATTTCATGTGAGGTGTGCATGTCATATTTATAATTTAATTGTTAATAGTAGCCTTGAAGTATTAGAAATGAGATCACTTTAGTTAGAAGAGATGTTGGTGTAATTCAAAAAAATAATAGAAGTGCTGGATTAAATGCATTTAAGGATAAATGCGTACAATATGGACTAAAACCAAGACTCATGCCTGAAGAAATGGTTACTATGTGGAATTATACTTATATATTCTTAAGATGCTCGTTATAAATATAAAATTCCTATAACTAATGTTGTTAGTTTCCATTGTACCGATCTTGTGACAACCCGGCCGGTTGTTTTGAGTATTTTAGCCTCGATCCCCTATTTATTGCCTCCTCTATGTTGTATTATGGCTACATGACTTGCTGAGGGTGTTTAGTTTTGGTTTGGGTGAGTTTCGGAGTTAAATGAGACACTTAGTCCCTAAGTTGGAGCTTTAAATTAAAAGAGTTGACTGTAGTTTGACTTTTGTGTAGACGACTCCGGAATGGAGTTTTGACGGTTCCAATAGCTCCGTATGGTAATTTTGGACTTAGGAGTTTGTCTGGATGTTTATTTGGAGGTTCGTAGGTCGTTTCGGTGTGAATTGGCGAAAGTTAGAAAATTTAAGGTTTGGAAGATTGGAAAGTCTGACCGAGAGTTAACTTTATTTATATCGGGGTCAGATTCTGATTCCGGAAGTTGGAATAGGTCTGTCATGTCATTTATGACTTGTGTGCAAAGTTTGAAGTTAATCGGAGTTGTTTTGGTATGAATCGGCATTAGTTTTGCAATTTGAAAGTTCATAGTTTCATGGGCTTGAATTTGAGTTGTGATTCGTAGAATAGATGTTGTTTGATGTGATTTTTGGCCTCGAGTAGGTATGTTATGTGTTTTGGAGCTTGTTGGTATATACGGACGGGGTCCTGAGGGCCCCGGGGGTGATTCGGATTGAATCCGAAACAAGTTTGGACTTGTGAGATTGCTGAAGCACTGTTGCTTCTAGTGCAACCGCACCTGCGCATTTTGGGCCGCAGGTGCGGCGCCGCAGGAGTGGCCCTTGAGTCGCAGAAAAGAATGTGGACTTGCCTAGATAGGACCGCAGGTGTGGTCATTCGTTCTCATAAGCGGAAATGGCTGGCCAAGCCTAGGGTCGCAGAAGCGGAACCCTTCCGAAGGCGCGAGAGCGCAGATGTGCATATTCTCCGCAAGAGCGGACGTGCAGGTGCGTGATTTGACCGTAGAAGCGAAATCTCCTGAGTTAAGTTAGAAAAGCACCTGCGATAGATTTTTCGCAGGTTCGGCGTCTCAGATGCGACCCCAGACCCGCAAAATCGAGGATCGCTGCGAAAAAAAAGGGGTCTTCGAGGGTTTGAGCTTCATAATTCATTTTTGGACCTAGAGAGCTCGGTTTGTGGCGATATTTTGGAATATTTGCAAGGAATATCGTAATCGATTTTGGTTAAATTACACGATTCCATAGTTAATTTCATCATTTAATTAGATATTTGAGTTGGAAATTTGAGGAAAAATTGTGAAAACTTCTTAGGCTAAAATTTGGGGTATTTGAAATGCGACTTGAGATCGGATTTGAGTAACTCTTGTATGGTTGGACTCGTTATCGAATGGTTGTTCTGGTTTTGTAATTTTGTCGGGTACCGAGGCGCGGGCTCGGTTTGACTTTTTGAGTTGAGTTTTTATTACTTTGCAAAGATCGTAATTTTATTATTCGCAATAGTTTTCTATAGTTTATATTTATGGTATGAAGTTGTTTTGGCTAGATTCGAGTCGTTCGGAGTTGGATAATCGAGGGAAAGACTTACTAGTGGAATGAGTTGGCGTTTTGTGGTAAGTGTCTTGCCTAACTTTGTGCGGGAGAATTACCCCTTAGGATTGGTGTTGTTTTGTGATAAATGTGATGTGTGGAAGCCGTGTACGCAAGTTGATGAGTGTGTACACGGGTTAAATGAGGAAATTTACCGGTTTGAGCTATGTAGATTCCTTTCATGCCTTGATTGAGTCATCTAAACATGTTATCTTCTTCATCATTAGTCTATTTTCACATGCTCTACTTGTCTTATCTCTTACTTTTTAATTGCTCTACATGTTTAGTTGAATTTCTTGTTTCCCTTATTCCATATTCATTATGTAACCGTTGAATTCTTTACTTGAAGTTGTTATTCTTGGAATATCTTGTTGTTGAAAGAGGCATTGAGTTATAAAGGCCGTAACTCACATTGAGGCAAAGTGTTAAGTTGTGAAATACTATTCTTGTTGAGTTATTCACTTCCGGTGGTCATTATTGTTATTCTTGTGCATATTGTGATTTAGCCACGGGCTACTTGTTGTGAAAATACTATTGTTGTTGGTTTCTTGGAAAGTTGTGATATTGGGCTGATATATCGTGATATTGATACACATGCAGTTGTATAAGGTTTTGGGGTTGAAACACATGCGATGAGATAAGGCGGGTTAGATACGCGTGGCTACTAGGGGAACTACTAGAAGCCACGCGGTGTGATAAGGTGGGCTAAAACGCGGAATGCTATTTTTGGAAAATGATTTTTCAAAATTAAATGCAAGGCTCCCGCGGTGATATAAGAAAATATGAGGAAAATTGGGGTTGTACTAGATCCTAACCATTTGTTAACATCTAGAACTTGGGATGTCATTGAAGATAGTGTACAAATTTTACAAATTTTGTATTTAGCTACACTTGAGTTTTCTGGAGCTTATCATCCTGCTATTGCAAATGGTTTAGTACATATAGCTGAAATTTTCTCTTTTACTCCATAATTTCAAGAAGAAAGAAGGATATAGTTCTACTGTTAAATGTATGCTAGATAAATTTAACAAATATTTTTATCATATTCCCCCTATTTACCTAATTGGTGTTATTTTAAACCCTTCTATCAAACGGCCACTTGTCGCCAATTAATCACTGCTTTATATGTTTATATGGATATCGGGCCAACTGAAACCCCTAATGTTGAAACTTGTTTTTTTATCTACACAAACATTTACAAACTTTATATAATTATTATGTTAACATTGTTGATGTTTCTTCTGTTGTATATGAAAATATCCCTTCAAGTTCAGTTTTTACATCTGCATTCGGTGCTTTGGAAGATAATGATGGTGTTGAAAACTATTTAATTTGGTCTTCACTAGGAGAGCATCAACAAACCAGTAGTAGGAATATTGATGGACTCCAATTCTACTTTCAAAAGTCATCAGAGCCCCGCACAAAGGAATTTCTACCATTGGGTTGGTGGAGGAGCAACTCAAATCAATTTTGTGCTCTTTCGGCCATGGCTCGAGACGTGCTAAATGTGTCGATTTCAACAGTTGCATCAGAGAGCGCATTTAGCCACGCAAGGCAGCAGCTAGGAGATACTTGTCATTCATTTGGTAGCAACACTTTAGAAGTTCTAGTGTGCTTCATAGATTGGATAAGATCGGAACGGCGAAATCAAGGGCGTGAAGAGGTAGATGAAACGGAGGATCAAGAAATTGGAGATATAATGGTTTATGGTTCCGATTCAAGCAATGTCGAAAATCAAGAACCTCATGTTGACATGGATGAACTTACAAAAATGATGCAAAGCATGTGATATACTCTTTCTTATTTTTTAGAATTGTTGTAAACTTTTAATTTGCAAGTTAAAAAAAAAAAATCAAAATAGAATTTGCAAATTAATCTGAAGTATTATTTATTATTCAAGAATATATGAAACGAAAGCCTTCGGAGTTTGATACTTACATATTGGTCTTATTAAATAATTTTTTGAAGCCACTTACTTTCAATTTTAAAATTCAAATTTTAAATTTAAAACTTTAAAGTTTAATTTTATGCCTTAAAATACTTATTTCCTTAATTAAAAGTTTGCAAACACTTACATATCAATTACATTGAATAAGCAAAACATAATACACTATAAAAATTAAAATTAAAAATAAAAAAATAAAAACCCGACCCCGTCCGGACCCAATACCCCGAACCCGGACGGGCCCAATTTAACCGGAAATTCCCAGCCCACTATCAGCCCGGTAAGCCAGCCCACCCCACTAACCGGACGGGCTGTTTTTTTTTCATATCATGCCCGGACCAGTCCGACTGGTTAACACCTCTAATCTCACAGCTACATCTTCATTCTTCTTCTTCCCAGCTCTTAATGTCACAGCTACTCATGATAATAGCTTGATTTCTGCAACCTTAAATGGATTGAAACTTTTATTTCTACCTAAAGCAACTCTGTGTTAGTTAATTGCTGTCATCTATTAGATAAACAAAAAGCAAATTCAGAACCGTATATGTGATGAACTTAGATTTATTTGGAAATCATGGAGTGGGATCAGAATTTGCCTTAATTCCTTTACATAATGTAAACTAGTCATTATTGTAAATATAATTAATTCAATATTCTAAAATGCTGAAATTACAATTAGAACAGGCTTGCGTATTTTCCAGCAATAAGATGCATTAATTAATAACTAGCATGTATTTTCCATCAACAGAGTACAAATTCTTACCCCATGTCCTAACTCATCTCCTCATCATAGAACCACATATATAGCGGCACACTCATCTCCACGTCAAGATAACTTGATACATAAAAGAAACTAAAAATACAACACTGTTAAGACTAGGTTAGTAAAAGGCCAAGACGTGATTTAATTATTGAATTCATAATGATGTTATTATATATATTCATAACTCGAGTAGAAAATTATGAGTTTAATTAGCTGGGCTCATAGAATTCGCCCTAGATCCACGTCTGAATAGTCTACAAATCTACAAATAATTTTTAGGGATAAGGCAAAGTTCATTTTTCTTATGCATGGTAATGCCAGGCTTAACATCTGTGTCAATGTCCTCTTTTTCCATCCCACAAGGTAACTCCCAATCAAAAGCATAAAGAAGATTTGACAATGCAAGTTCCATGGATGCAACTCCAAGTGCAATCCCCGGGCACCCTCTTCTTCCAGCTCCAAATGGAATATAATCAAAGTCCTGGCCCTTAAATTCAATATTGCTATTCAAAAATCTTTCAGGTATAAATTCTTCTGAATTTTCCCATATTTCAGGATCCCTTGATATAGCCCATGACTTAACATGAATTATGCTTCTTGGTTGAATTTCATACCCTTCTAGTGTGGATATCTCCATTGATTCTCTTGGCAGTAGGACTGGAACTGGTGGGTACAATCTAAAAGTCTCCTTTATCACTGCTTTGAAATATGGAAGATTTTGGATATCATCTTCAGTCACAATGTTGCTTTTCTTTCCAACTGATTTTCTGATTTCTTCTTGGACTTTCTTCATGGCTTTTGGATTCTTCATGAGGGCTGTCATTGTCCATACTACTGCAGCTGCGCTAGTGTCTGATCCTGCAAGTAACACATTCTACAAAGAAATTGACAGGGAAAGAAAATAAAAGTTATCACTTAATGTTAATGAGGAAGCCTCAAGGAAAGATAGACCACATTTATGCTATCTACCTAACCCTCCGCAGGGTTATTCATGTCACTCTATTTAAGCTAATCTCAATGCAATTGTATATTATATAAAACAAAAGTTCCGATCCATGAGAATAACAAATGACAAGGCAAAGTGTCTTTAGCACTAAAAGTTCTCTATATTTTCTACTAGCATGTCATCATATCAATCTCTAACAAGACTAAAAGACTCTTAACAATCATTAGACCTAAAGTAAAAGTACTAACATGATTAATGTTCCGACAGTATGACCTTGCTCACAGTGCCAGTCCCAAGCTTAGATCCAAGAGGAGGGTTATGATAGGTTGATAGTCAGCGTGACCGGTTAATTTTAATGAATGCTCACTATATATACGTATATATAGGTAGGTTTAAGACGTAGGAGATTACCATGACAAGTGCTTTTATATCCTCCAAAGTGAGATCAATTGGTGTTAATTTCTCTTTCTTCAGTTGGAGCAGAATATCAAGAATATCTCCTTCCATGGATTTTGGCCTATTGGGATTAAGATGCTGCTCAATGAGTTCTTTATAAAACTCATCCAAATCCTTGAAAATCTTCTCAAGTCGAGCTGTAACTCCAGTAAGTTTATCAATCCAGCTTAAAGAAGGGAAAAAATCAGACACAAAGAAACTAGTCATCATTGCTCCAGCTTCTTCTAAAAGAAAATTGAACCTCTTCCTTTCATGTGCTTCTTCATCATACCTAATACCAAAAGCAACTCTACAAATAATAGTACTACTTAGTGAAATCATAAATTTGCTCAAATTGGTGATTTGACAAGTAGCAGCTTGTTGAGATATTCTGTTGATCATTCTGAAGACTTCATCTTGACGAACTGGACTAAATGATTGTACTTTCTTGAGACTAAATAGTTGAAGCACACAAATTTTTCTCAATTCTCTCCAACAATCATTGTAACGTGAAAAGACAATATCACGACCATTGTAAGACAACTTTTGCTGGCCAAGAATAGAAGGTCTACTACAAAATACTAAATCGTGCGTCTTCAGTACTTCTTTTGCTAATTTTGCTGAAGAAACTACAACCATTGGAGCAGAAGCAAGTTTCAATGAGAAGATTTTTCCATATTTTTTGGAAAGTTTCCAAAAATAAAGATGAGGGGTTAAAGTGTCATATTGATGCAAATTTCCAATGAATGGCAGCCCTATAGGACCTGGTGGCAGATTATTATTTCCACCCTTTATGGCTTTAGGAAGAAGGAAAATAAGAATGATAGGAAAGGCTAAAGAGTAGAAAGAGTATCATTTTGTTAATTTCTCCCTCAACCTCTGCAAACCACTGATCTTTTTCTTTGATTCTTTTCAAATACAACAAAATCTCCAAAACATATAAGGTATGGACCTAGATGTAACTGATATCCGAGTGACATTTAGGCCATGAAGGTGACATAGAAAAATCATAGGCTCATAATTAAATCTTGAGAATGACAATTGTCCCCTAGCAATCAATACTTTGCAGGTTTTCAAGATATTCGTCTCATCAGCATACTAACTATAGCGTAATGAATAAATATCTTGTGATTCTCAATTATTGGTAAATTCTAATTTTGAGAGGCGTTAACAGATGTACGGGATGTTATGGAACTTAGTAGGGATATTAGGATGGCTTGAAAATGTTATTGACTCGGGCTCTACATTTTTTGTTTTGGCAAATAGAAATATCTTACTACCAAGTAAACTATGTATAGGTTAAATTGATAAACAAAATAAAAGAAACAGCCCAGGAACTGGGCCACATGCTCTAATTACAAGGGTAACCAAATTCACCCCTCTAACCTCCTAACTAGAGCATCACAGTATATCCAAAAACGACTAACCTAAGGATAGAAATTGAGCTCCTCTAAGCTTCTTAGCTATCTAGGTATCGTAGATCCTCTACAGAAGACGTCCTGTATTACCAGCCTTGTAATCTGCTCAGCCAGAATGGATTAGAAAAATAATTATCCATCCATATTATCTATTAAGAAATGGGTTGGATAATGACCTTTTTAAAAATAGGTCAAATATGGATAAAGTCCATATTATCCACTTAAAAAATGGATAACCAATTATGAGTTAACTTTTACATTTGTAAAGACTCAACTTAGTGATTCCTCAATTTTGGGGGACTAGTAATTCTCCAAAACATATCATATTCAAGGAGTCATGGATAACATGGATATCTACATTATCCGTCGGTTAACCCATTTTCTATCTGTATTAAATATGAATCGGGTCAGATATTTTATCCCTTTATGCGTTGCTCGTTTTCGACCTGCCCATATCCGACCTGACTCGCCCGTTTGTTACCCCAGTTAAAACATAGTTGTTGCAACTTGCAAGAAGAAAATATCTTCCTTGTCTTTTGCTGTGCATCTCTTAATAATCTACAAGCAGTGTTCCAATATTTGCAACAGTGATGTTTTACACAATGTATGTTGCTGGTTTAATCAGGCGTACAACAAATCATGATTTGTTAAATCTATCATATATCCTAATGAGAGCTTCCAATTTTTTCCTTCCGAATAAGTCAAACGTTTGCCAAATTGAATTCTTCAAAGGAGAGAAGCTTAAGCAAGGAATAACATTCTTAAGAAATGTAAGGGTTGTTACAAAATGAAGAAAAAAAAGATTTGCTTCATATTCCGATTTCTTATGAGAATAAAGGAGGGAAGATTATACTTCTTTTTCTGTATGTTTTGTTGGGTCCAAACATACAACTTTGTGTTTTGTTACGTGATGTAGTCTTAACATATTGGAATTATCAAGCCAGAAATAATGGAAAAAGAAAGAAATTTTCCACCGTTTACTTTTCAAAGGCTGCTAGAAAGAGTTCCAAACAATTGAAACTCAGCCACTTAAACTGTGTGCCATTTTCAGGCCTTCAAGAACTAGCAGACTGCAATATATATATGTCTCCAAGCTTTTCTTGGCATTATCAGTAATGGAGATTTCCTCGGTTTTCATAGCTTTGGGATGCTTACTAGCATTAGCTATTATTTCAAAACTCATCAAAGGTCAATACCCCAAAAGAAAACTACCACCAGGTCGAGGCCATGGCCAATTATAGGCAATTTGAACCTTCTCGGTTCACTCCCACATGAATCGTTGCACCATCTTTCACAAAAAATATGGAGATTTGATGTTCTTAAAGTTTGGTTCCAAACCTGTTCTTGTAGCATCATCTCCAGAAATGGCGGAAGAGTTCTTGAAAACACATGACGCCAGCTTTGCTTCTCGTCCTGCACTCTCTGCAGGTAAGTACACTAGCTATAACTACTCAGACATGACATGGGCACCTTATGGTGCATTCTGGCGCCAAGCTCGAAAAATCTACCTCTCCGAAATATTTAATCCCAAAAGGCTTGAGTCATTCAAGTCTATTCGTGTTGAGGAAACACGAACTTTGATTTCTAGTCTTCACACTCTCTCAGGAAAGCCAGTTTTTCTCAAAGACCATTTACCTCAATTCACACTTTGCACTATGAGTAGGATGGTTATGAGTGGCAAGTACTATAGTGATGAATCAAAATCAAATACATCAATAGTATCACTTGAAAAGTTGCAGTGGATGCTAGATGAATCATTTTTACTTAATGGGGTGATCAATCTTGGGGATTGGGTACCTTTACTGAGTTGGTTCGACTCACAAGGGTACATAAAGAGAATGAAAGCATTGGGAAAGAGTTTTGTAGAATTTCACAACTCTGTGCTTGAAGATCACAAGGCTAAAGCAAAGGAGAATTCAGTTCCAAAGGACATGGTTGATATCATATTGGAGCTAGCTGATGACCCTAATCTTGAAGTTAAGCTTACTAAGGATCACTTGATGGGATTAATGCATGTAAGCTTTCTTGTTATATAAAACTTAGCACAATACAACTAAGTCCAAAAAGATCGTCCGCATTCCTTTTTAGAGGGTTGTAGCCGCTATTTAACTATATTAAAGGATTATTTAGAGTAATTTATTTCTACTTTTTTGAAACCTGAAACTGCAAATCATTTGAAAAAGGGTCAATCCCAGTTTTATTTTCTCAATTATAGCGCACATAATATTCTATTATAGCTCATAAAAGCTTCAACCAGTGCATTTTAATAGTTGCTTTATTTAATTTTATGTTCCTTTTTGGCTATCTATGCTAGGATTTGCTGACTGGTGGAACAGATACTTCAGCTGCAGCAGTAGAATGGGCATTTCAAGAACTTTTGAGGAATCCAAAGGTTATAGAGAAGGCAAATCAGGAACTTGACAGAGTTATTGGGAAAGAACGATGGATAGAAGAAGAGGACTTTTGTCGCCTACCATATATAGATGCCTTAATCAAAGAGACATTTCGACTGCACCCACTATGTGCATTGCTTCCTCCCCATTACTCAATTGAGGACTGCAAAGTTGCTGGTTATGACATACCGAAGGGAACAACAGTATTTGTAAATGCATGGTCTTTAGGAAGAAATCCTAAGTATTGGGATAGAGCAGAAGAGTTCATTCCAGAAAGGTTCTTAGAAAATGACATTGACATAAAGGGACAAAACTTCACACTGCTGCCATTTGGTTCAGGAAGGAGGAGGTGCCCCGGATATAGCCTTGGGATTAAGGTCGTTCGGACAACGATAGCTAACTTGTTGCACAGATTCAATTGGAAATTAGCTGGAGGTATGAAAGCAGAGGATATAGGCATGGAGGAAATTTATGGCTTGACGACACACCCAAAGAAGCCGACATCTATGATCATGGAACCAAGACTTAGCCTCCATCTTTATTAGTACTTTATTGAGTTTATTAATCTTTATCAGCATATGTGGTTTACTAGCATTGAGAACTCCTAATATTTGAAGAGATGCAATGCGAATTGAAATTTCTTTACTTTTTCTTATAAGCTACAAAAAAAAGCGACCAAAGTTGGACGGAAACTGAGAGAAAATATTTTACATTTATTTTTAAAAAAATACCGACCAAGAGGTCTACTATTTGAAGAGATGCAAATTGAAATTTCTTTGCTTTCACTTGCGTTTAGCTCTGAGATATCTTTTACATATATAAGCTGCAGTTAATGGATCCGCTTTAGGAAAGACTGAGCTAATCAAGTAGCCATTTTAAAAGTATACTGACCAAGAGGAAGGTAAGAATAACTCTAAATATATGGCCCCTACCTGAGCCCTGTATTGTGTGACTGATATTTTCTCAGTTGTTACGCCAAGTTGTGCCCTGTTTGGTCCCCTCCCCAGGACAGTGGGGTTGTAGTCATGAGGCTATTATTATCCAATGGTGAGAACAACAACGTCAAGACTTTCACAAGAAAATATTTTCCTTTTCTGGCTTTTTTGTTCCTCTATTTTTTCATCAGATGCACAAATTCAAGCATGACCTTAATAATCTCTGTCACTTCATCCATCACATCAAGCACTGAACAGAAACCAAAAGCATAGCTCCAATCTTCATCTTGCAACACTGATTTTTACGCAATGCACATTGTTTTCAATTATAAGTGTAACTGAATCTCCAGTATGCCCATCTATGAATGAACTATGATTATTATCTTAATAAACTAAAAGGGAAAAACAAAAAGAAATAAGAAAAAGGACAAATTCCCCATTTTACCTAAGAGTTATAGGAGTACTTGATTAATTAGCCAATGGTTTTACAAAAAAAATTTAATTGCACTGGATGGTTCTACAAATATGTTCCAAAGTAAGAAAGGCTAAGGTCCACAAGTTATAATAATTCCAAGTTAACTAATTTTTCCTTCAATTTTAATATATAAAGAACTGCAAGCAACAGCTGAGAGAGGAAAAGGTTCCATAAAGAAAAACAACTAGCAAGCCATACATAACACGTTGAGGCTTTGCAACAACTCAAGATCAGAGCAATTCAATTCAGTATGAGCTCCAACTATATCACTAGCGATCTAGTAAGATCGAGGGCTCGTTAGATTTATTATGCGACATTAAAGCATGTTTTTTTTAAAATATTTTTGAAAATTAAAACGAATAATTTGTGTTTAGGTAGTAATTTTTAAAAACATAAAATGGTTGGGTTTTATCCAAACACCCAAGGTGTTTTTTTCTATGATGAAAACATTTTAATTTAACCACTATAATTTCGACTAACAGTGTTCACAATTTTCCCAGATATTTTCTCCCAAAATGGGGAAAAAAGATGATATTTCTTGAATTTTGATTTACAAAAATATCCATAGCACCATTCCAAATATTAATTACTTCTCAAGGTTGCTAAGAATTCCAAACAGTTGGAACTATAC